AGTAAATAGAAGGGCCCAGAAGTAAAACAAGTAGCAAATGTTTTGGAAGTTGGCCCAGTCCACAGAAATTGGCTGCAAACTGCTTTAGTTAAATTTGGTACAGTTTTCTTCTGCAGGGAAGCAATATTGACATTTGTGCCCAAGGATGCTGGTATAATTTAGAAAATTAGTCATGTACCTTATATATAAAGTGTTGCTGGAGAAAAGGGTGAATTAAGCTGTCCTCCCTCTGCAATGTAGATTGTGTACAAATCAGCAGAGGAGGTTTCAAGCAGATGCTTGGAAAGAAAGCTTTCTAGCAGGGAAGATGATGAAGCAGATCACCTGTGAGAGCTGCAGAGGGGGCTACATCAAGGAATGATTTTTTTTTTATTTGTAGATCCCTTCTACAAGCATTCCCATGGAGAATACCCTTCACAGTCAAATTTGCGAACAACAAACTTGCCTTTTGAAGTTCCTAACCCCTAAGCATCTCAGTCCCTGAACCACAAAAGCCACTGGCACAGGTTTTCTATGCCTTAATGCCTCCTTTGAAATGATGGTAAGTGGGGGCAGGAGCTTTGTCCAAAGCCTCAGCAAACAGGCACAGCGTCAGGCTGAGCTGTCTGGCTGAGCCATAGGGCTCTCACATAAGTTTAGTTGAGCAGAATTTGTCTTTAAATGGCCTATGACTGATGCAGAGAACTGTGTGAGAACTGACAGGGAACCTGGCTGTGCTTCTGCTTTAACCCAGGAATTGTTGTAGCGAAGGAGCTCTAGAGCCTCTCTTTGGTAGTAATAAATCAGAATTTGGCACACAAATCTGCTGGAGTATCAATGGGATGGGCAGAGGTGTGGATAGGATGCTGAGCATGGATGTGAACCTGTAACCTGACCAGGACAGGTCACAAATCACACAGGGGTTGAAATGACAGGGGGGAAAATGTTTATGAAGTGTGGCAGCAGGTTTGCCCTTGCAGAGGGCTGTGAATCCCAAACAGAAACACATTGACATCATGCTGCAAAAACAGCAGGATGGTTGTTCCAGTCTGGAAGCATTTTCACTGTAGGAAGTACAGCCATGTTTCCTTTTCTCTGTCATTTACCTTCATTCCCCTTGGGCTTTTATATTTTGTTACTGGCTTGATATCTTCCCTATCCATCAGTCCAGCGCATCCCATTAAGCAGCTTTTCTTGATTGACTAATGAGATGCTAAATATAGCAATGCTTTTATCGCTGCCTTTTATTGCTCAGCTCAATTTCCTGCATTTCTCTTGCTATTCTTCAGTGATTACTCTGTTGTTACTGTATTTACTGCTGTATGCCCATCACCTCACTGGCATTTCTTTGGTCAGTTGTTACTCATCTCTCTGGTCATTTCTTCCCACTTCTTCCCAGTTCTCCTCCCCCTCCTACTTCATTGAGGTTTGCTCTACCATCTTCCCCACCCAGTACATCACTCTCCTCCTACGCCCAAGACCCCCTTTCAAAAAGTGAACAGAGGACAAAAGCACTTCTGCCCTGAGAGAGCTGTCCAAGCAGGGCAGGATGAATCCTGCCAGTGGGCTCCTCTCTGCTCGTTAACCACACAAGTCTAACTGGGACAGAGCAGCTGCTTGACTTGCCGAGAGTGAAGTGTAAGAAAGATGAATGCCATTCTGTAAGCTACCAGGACTTTCAATGCTGAGTGTTAACGCAGCTTGTGCTACTGCTGTCATTACAATGACAGATAGAACAGTCACTTAGGAAGCTGTAAGTCCTAGGATTTTTGGCAGTTGTTTAACCCACGGCACTAAAGTTATTCAGATTTAACACATTTTTGAATCCCTTTTTTGTGTCTTGATGATTAGCAGCGTAAAATTCCAGGTGCAAGCTGGCCTTTTAATCCAAATAATAGCTTTTTCCCCATCATACATAAATACAGCCTTCACATATCAGTATGTTAACTGCAGTAATGTTATTCTCAGAAGATTAAATGAAATATTCCTACTTTCATCTGCCTAGCATATCCCAAGGCTGTGAGGTATTTCAGAATTAGCATAAATACTGGTCTAGATGTGCTCTTTCAGCTTTTACTTAAAGGAATTGCTGTATTCTTGACACCTGCTTATTTCATTTTTCAGAAATGTAACCTGTAAAAATAAAGTCACCCAAGGACAGAAGTAGGAGCTCTGTAAGGGGTGACTTGCATCTGACATGTGGTGGCTTTACTGACATGACTCATAGACACTGAGATTGACCCAAGATTATTAGTTTAAAACTTCTTGGGTCATTTTATGCTGGTTTTATGAGGTCAGTGAGATACTCTTCATTGACAAGCTTTTCCAAAACACTGTGTATCATGGGGTATTAATGTAAATCCATCTGGTTCTGCCAGCATAAATGCTGAGGCCACTATTGACCCAGTTCAGAAGTCCTGTGTAACCTGGCTCATTTTGCAGTACAGCTGCCCAAACTTTTACTGTGCCCACAGGCAGGGCATCGGTGCACTGTGCTCTGGCCACTGTCCTGTAGTCAGAGAATGCCTGCCCTTGTCTTGTGGCATCTTGAGTTTAGGTACAGACAGTTGGCACAGGATGGCCAAAGTACTGCAATTCTGAACACTAATAATTGGTTCAGGTATCCACAGCCTCCAGGAGGTGTTAATGGCTCCATGTGTGTTTATCCTGTGGTATTTACTGGTGTAGCACAGTTGGGTGAATGTAGCTCGATGGTGCTGTGTAGACATGCCCAAAGGATGATTCCCTAGGTCCATGTCTGATATGTTAATATACATGTGCTGTTAGCAAAATAAGAAAAAGAGACATGTCATTAAAACCAGAGCTAAAAGATCTTCATGAGTTGAAGTTTTGCTTGATGTCCATACCCAAATAGTGAATTGCTAACTTTGCATTTCCTACACAGAGGAGTGGAAGAGATTGGAAAGCTAAACATAAGCAGGGAGTACAGCTGCAGGTAAATACATTTATTAATAACCTTAGAAAGATTCATGGCAGCCTCTCACTGGCAATTAACCAGGCAATGGCTTGGAGAGAATCCTTATCATGAGAATTCCCTATATTGCCAGCTGAATACATACCCTGCTTTTATGCACTATGGGCTGCTGCTACTGAGTGAGGTGCTCTAGCTTGCTGCAATAGCTCTTAGGGTGAAAGAAAGGAATTTTTGATAAGCAAATCTGAAGATAAATAATTGGAGGGAGAGAAGGTACATTTCTCTCTTCTGTGCCTACATTTTTGTGGATTTTTAAATATGTATTTTACACTTTATGTGAAAGTTCTAAGAATCTGCTAATGTTTCTAGCTTAGAAATGTGAACCACGCTGACGTGATGTCTTTGTTTTTTTCTGGTGTGACTCCTGTGAGTCTTGATGATATGCATGATAAATCTTTCACCTTGGCAGAGAGAGAGGGAAGTGTTTAATATTTAACCAAGGTTGTCTTTTACTTCAGCATCCATCGATAGGGGACTGCAGTTACAAATATGTAAAACTGTGTTTGTTTTTGCTGAGAAGAGTACTTGGAAGGAAAAAGGGATAACCTTTCCCAAAGGAATAAGTTTCAATTACAACAAAAGACGAGACTGTTTTTAGAATAGATCAAATTAAGCCCACATTACACTGCAATAGTTGAATACTTGTTTCAATAGGACCACATTCAGAGCACAGTGTTAAAACAGTGGCTTTTGAACCAGCGTGGTTAAGTTGTGCAGGTCGCCGTGTCGGTGCCCTTGCTTGCTCGAGTTCTCACGCCAGACCGCCTGATTTTCCCACGGGGAGCAGTGTGTCGGGGTTTGTGCCATATTATCTCCTGTTTACTGGAGAAAATGGACCACTGAACTAGTTATCTGAAGTCACTGAATCAGACTCATAATCTTTACTGTTAGAAAAGACCTCCAAGATTGAGTCCAGCCTTTGCCTGAATACCACATCAATTAAACCATAGCACTAAGTGTCATATCCAGTTTATTGAACACTTGCAGGGATGGCCACTTCATCACTTCTCTGGGCAGCCCATTCCAATGCCTGACAACCTGTTCAGGCAAGAATTTTTTTCCTGATGCCAACCTGAACCTTCTCTTGCACAACCTGAGGCTCTTCCTAATGTTACCTGGGAGCAGAGGCTGACCCCCACCTGGCTCCACCCTGCTTTCAGACAGCTGAGGAGTGATAAGGTCTGAGCCTGCTTTCCTCCAGGCTAAGCACCCCCAGCTCCCTCAGCTGCTCCTTCTAGGACCCACTTTTCTACACCCTCCCCAGTTTTGCTGCCCTTCTCTGGACATGCCCTAGCACTTCAATGCCCTTCTTGAAGTGACTCCCAGTCATGGACAATTCTTGCTACAGTCATTTTTTTCATACCTATGGCTTCTTCTATGCTAGATAAGGATCACACTTCCAGTTTTACATTTAGTTAATTTACATCACTAGGAAAAACTGCTGCTGGTGATAATAAGCATCCTGTCTGGCCTGCTTTTTGTCCTTTTCAGAAATTTAGCAGAGCTTTTTAGGGGAAAATACAGAAGTTAAAAAACCTAAGCAATCTTTTTTCATGAATCCTTAATACATCTGAGCTGCATCTCAGGTCTGCTGCAGTAGGAAAGAGTTGTGTGTCATAATTTCCTCTATTCAATGCATTTTTAACAAGTCCCAAACTAATTGTACTTGTCCTGGTGAAGTGTGTATTAATCATTATATTTTCTCTCACTGAGTTTCTACAGTATCTCAGCTATCTATAGACATAAGCCCAGTGCCAGAATGCTGCAGTCTTGCAGATAAAAAAGATCTACTACACCTTTGAAAACCCAAACAAGAACAAAACTCCGTTTTTTCACAGCTTTAAAAACTCTTGGTATAAATAAGGTATTTAAAGTAGAATTGAGATGCCTATGGATACAGAGCTGGAGATTTCACAGAAAATGGGTGGGCAGACACAGCTCTTGGGCTGCAGTGTGTAAGCCAGAATTGCCTCAGAACTCCCGGTAGTGCTGTGGGCGGGCAGTGATGCTGTGCTGGCTCTTGCAGATGCGGACGACGCGCAAGGTGTCCGTGTGGCCCGTGGGGCTGGTGGGCGGCCGGCGCTACGAGCGCCCCGTGGTGGAGAACGGCAAGGTGGTCGGCTGGTACACGGGCTGGAGAGCTGACAGGCCCTTTGCCATCGACATGGCAGGTGAGGCTCGCTCGTGGTACATCAGTGCTTCCATTTCACAATTTCAGCAGCTTCTTACACTTCTGAAGTGCTGGCAGAGTGTGCAGCCCTTTGGCATTAACTATCCTGGAAGTATAAGCTTGTACATCTTGTCTAATTAATTTGCTGCTTGGTGGTATCTGAACTTACTTTAATTTGTTTTTATTTTTATGTGGCAACTTGGCTTTTATGTTGTATAAATTGTCTGTCTGAAACAAGTTAATTGTATATTAATTCATCCTAGCAATTCTTGCAAGGAGTCCCTGCCTGTCACTTTGTCATCAATCTAAACCAGGCAGCATAAATGCAGACCTTCTTAGACCTCATATTGTAAAATGCTACTTTATCATGAAATTATTCATGTTGCATTGGTTATTTGGAATGACAGTGATAACTGTAGATGGATATATTTTGAAACACTGGGCTTAGGGGAAAAATCACTGACAGCTGTTGCCTGGTAGAAGAAGGCAGAAAAGCTTCAAAATTAATCTAATCAATCTTCTGCAGTGAAGTTTGCACACCACACAGCTCTGTCTTGCTGCCAGTCCATGCTTAGACTATCTTTTGTATTCACTCACAACTGCCACATGACTCACCACTGGTCACAGGTCCAATTTCTGATACAGCAGAAGCTGGTTTCCCAGCAAATGATATGGTATTTGCACTTGAACATCTTCTGTACTCAGGAGGAAAAAGTAGGAATACAAGGGTGTGGAGGGATAGAATGTAAGAGAATAGTGCAGAAGGTAGGCTCACACCTGAGGAGTTGCAGCTGTACTAATCACCAAAGATCAGGAACAGGCCTGCCCTTAACAGGCCACAGCTGTGTCCAATAAGGATGAGTGCTATAGAAAAGTGGGTTAACTGGGTGAGAAGAGAGATGGAGGTTGTTGTGCTGTGGAGAGAGTTGGAATTTGTTGGCTGTGCTGTGAAGGAGTCAGTGCTGTGAGGAGCTGCCCATGAGAAATCACTGAGAAGGTAGAGGGGATTTACACTAAGATGACAACACAAGGGCAAGAATAGGGTACAAATAGCCACTTTTTTTTATCCCGATACCCCAATGTTTTGAGAGAGGGAAAAGGATAGTGTACTGTTCTTTCTCATCTTAACAGAGTAATGTTATGTTAAATGAAATTATTGATAAAAATATGTACAGTATTTACAGTCCAACTGGTTAAAAAGGGTAAATAAAGGAGCACTAATGGTTGCTCCTTTATGGTTATCACCTCAAAGACAAAAAGGTTATCAGGTGAGTTTTTCTGCACTGTAGAGGCATTTCAATTTAATAGTATGACCTGGCATAAAAATAAGTATTTGGGTGTTCACATAAAGGAATTTCTCAGGGGCGAAGCCTGAAACCATACAGCGTGTTAGGGACTGCAGCTGTGCAGTTGAACAGTCCCTGTGGATTTAGAGATGCACATTGATACTGGACTCCAGAAGGCATTACTGATGGCATTATAAAGGTGAGAGCATGGTGCATAATTCATCAGCTGCAGGCAGAAAGCCATTACAAAACATCAGCCAAGGGACTCTAACGCAGATATGAAGATATACATAGGAAGTTCTTAAGCTGTTTACCTTGCAGATGCTGGCTAAATCACTGGCATGAGGGAAAAGCAGGTCCATTAGGAGCATTCCCTGCTTGTGCTTTGACCAAAGTCATGTAAGGGAGGGTCACAGACAAAAAAACCCCAAAACTTTTAGAATACAGGAAGTTAATGCACAACCACAAATAAAGAGTTATTATTTTGCATGAGACTTTTTCAGTCTTCAAAAATACTGAAGAAATTGAATTTCATTTTTAATTTCAGCAAGGAAAGAAATGGATGCAGTTTAGACTGTTAAAAAATGATGGGAAATTTTCATCTTCATTCCCCTCAGGAATACAGTGTCAGGGCATAAACAGAACAGAACTGCAAATCCAGAACTCCATAGGTGTCTGAGCAGGTGCAGGCTACAGGATGTGTGTCAAGGTGCAGTTTCCTTCTCTTGCCCTTCTCTCCTGACTCCCCAACAGACCTCCAGGGACTTGCTACCAAACCTAAGTCTATGCTTAGTCCATTGCTGGCTTTTTTCCATATATAAGGAACTCAGGTTATACGGAATGTGGCACATAAGGAAGATCAAGAATCTCTGTTAAAAATACTGCCATGCAAACAGGATGGTGCATACAGTAATACTGATATGGAGCTGTATCAGTGGTCTCCAGTTAGATGGTTTAGTGAACCATCTTTCACAGTGATTTTCACAAGATTTGATCATGAGGCTGGGTATGAACAGAGTGATGGCTTAAAAGGTTTGGGATCACCAATTTAACTTGTGGCTGTTCAGAGGAAGCACATCCTTGACTTTAAGCACATAAAATTCTTATTCTAGACAGCAAAATACAAGGCCAAATTCAGGTCCTGCTGATTTCATCAGGCTCAGCTCAGTGACCCTAGCTGGCCAACCTCCCCAGATTCTTTGCAACACACTTGCTCATGGCAATCGTATTAGGTCAGTTCATTAAACATTGGTTACTTATTTTGAGACATTTGTGGCTGATACTGCTGTTCTCCAATGTTAAACTGGATTCAGAAAGCAAAGGAGTTGTTTTCTCTCTTGCTTCTTGCCTGGCAACCAACACACCATATAAATTAGTTCTGGTATTTCCTAAGTTTGGCGTCAGTTTTTAATCGAAGGGGGTTCTAGAGTTTGACACAGACTTGCTTACCCTTGGGGAAGAAAAGCAAGAGAGAAGGTGGAAAGCAAAACCTGTGTTATTTAGTATGGATCTGAATTCAAGTCTTCTATATTAAATGTTGTTTTACTTCTGGCCTGTTCCTTACTGCCAGAATTTTGGATCACTCAAGAAAAAAGTCAGATTGTGATTCTCCTAATGTGAAGGCTGTTCAAGAAGGCCAATGCTTGCTTTGCATTAGCATTCCAGGAGCCACTTCAGTCATAGAGATTAATATGTGACTGTAAAACACCGGGCCAGCAGATTTTGGACTTTGGGTCTAGAGCTCATCCACTGTGCCCTAGGCACCTCTGCTAGGGCCTGAGCAACCACATTTTTTTAATTGTATTTTATTAACATTTTGCTATAGTCATGAGATCTTCAGTACATCTCATATTTCTTAGGGTTCCCTAAGCAAAATGCCAGTCTATTCATGGCACTGCAAAACATGGCATATTTTGGCTGAATCTGAAAGAGCCACTGCTGGAAGTCACAAACAAAAAAATTTAAGTGGTATGGCAGCCAGCACTCAAAACCTCCCACCAAAACCAAAACAAAACACCAACCTCCCCTCCCATCCAAGGATAAATACTGTTTTAAGCATTGAGCTTATAATCAAGTGCCTCTTTCATGGTGAAGTAATCAGCAGATGCCTTTGATCCTAACTACAAAACCTCCTGGTTAGACATCTCTGCCTTACTGCAAGCCAAAATGTACACTACAGGTAGAACAGAACTTGAAAGCCACAAAGCCCAAGCCATCTGTTCCAACATCAGCACTGAGCATTAACATTTATACACTCCAGAAATGATAAACACTCAAGTTTCTAGCTTGCCTTCAGCTACTGTCCTACCTAGAACTTCCAGGAAGCAATGGCATTAACCATGGCAACAAAATCTTTAAACCCTGGCTGAAGTTTAACTTGAATGATGATGAAAAATAGTTCTGCCTTTTAACAGAAGCCATTGGTCTAACACAAGTCAAGGTGTGAATTAATGGAAACAGCTTACATTGAAAGAACAGATGTAATATCTGCTGTCTCCCAGGTATCTTGTCCTCCAACAAATTAATTCCTATTTAGGTGGCCCTTCAGCCAATTAGAGTTAATTTATAACCTTGCATTATACACCAAAAAATCCTCGAAACACCTCTTCAAACTCCAGCTGTGAAATTGTCTTGTGGCATTTCATGTGAAGTTAAGCCCAGTATGACCTTGTAGGAATAATGAGACTAAGTAAAATAACTGTATGCATGTAAGCACTGTTCAGTTATGCTACATTGGAGACAGTAATCCCAGATAAATCCCGTTTAGTGACAGAATTCAAAACAACAGTGTCTTTTCATCTATTAGCACAGGATCATTATCTACTGAGAGAAATAATTAGTGCCAGTCTGGTCAAAACTGAGCTGTCTCTTCTATTTTTGACACCAAAATGACACCTCTGACAAAGTCAACTTAAAGTTGTCATTAGAAAGTGGTTTGCTCTCAAATCCATCTTACAAAATGTCATACATGTGAAAATAAAGCTGTTATAAAGCAGAGCTAAAGAACTAGAGAGCCAAGAGATAAGTCTCCTTGGATTATTCTACCTCCTAAAGTTGCTGCTTTATTGGATTCTTTTAACAAAGACTGCATGGACCCTGACCAAGGAAACAAACCTTAGGCCAGCCAGTGCACAGTAGCCCACATCCTTGCCACCTGCAACACTCAGTTTATAATTTAACTTTTACTTGATGGCACCAGTAGTTTTCACAGCAGCCTCAAAATGACAATTTGCAATAGCATTGTAGCAAGGGCACATGTCACATGCAGGGGCTATGGCCCACTTGAACATCTGTATGTAGGAGAAATCCACCCTCAGAAATCAATGCAATTTTCTCAACAGAGGAACAAGCCTTGCAACAAAAGATGTTACGAGAAATTAATGTATGGATAAGTATAGGCTATGGGTCCTGGGAGCCCCACTGACATTGTAAAGATAAAAAGCAGAAAATCTACATCTCTTCTGCTTAGAGTGAGATTATTTCTGTGCACTAAAATCTAGGACACTAATTTTGGTGTTTACTTCATTTTCTTCTTTATGCATGGGTAGCTTGAATCTTAAATATATTTAAAAAGAAAGAGCAGCTCACACAGCTGATCAGGGTTCAAAAAATGCCTTCCCATTTACTTTTTTTTTTGAGCCCAAAATTATTAAATCCCAGCTGCATCCAAAATTTATTGTTTGTTTTATGTGAGGAAAAAAGGCCAACAAAACCTAACCAAACCCTATAAACTGAAGCAGACTGTTTTGTTCATCAGTACAGTCTCTGGTCACCCTTCAAGATGCAGCAAGCTGGCTGTACATACTGTCTGCAGCTGAGGGAGTTTAAACTCTCACCCTCAGCTCTTCCCAAATGATTACATTTGGCTACCAAGAGCACTGGGATGGAGCCCACCTTGTGCTCCATCATGGCCAGGCTACAAGGAGTGAGAAGCAAGACTGCACAGCAGGGTGTGGATCCATGCAGACCCTGTCCATGCAGACACCTATTCTCTACCTCAGGCAGGACAGGATGTATAAAGCTACATCCAAGATATAGTGTATAAATGTTTTCTGTGTCCATCAGTGAACTGGGACCTGTTTACATCCATCAGGGTCCAAATCCTTACTGAAAACAAAACAAATTCCTGGTGTCTCCTTTTGCTTCCTACAAGCAAGACCATGATAAAGTGGTTTCAGTGTGCCTTTATTTACATGATGATGTAGAATTACTTCCTTACATTTTCCTCTTCAAAAGGCTCCCATAAAAGTCACAGATACTTTCAAGGAAAATACAGCAACAAGACATTTCTATTAAAAGAGGGTCAGAATTACATTAAGTTATAGAAAGTTATGCTCAATTTTAAACTGATAAAATTTTAATAGTGGCTCTAGAATTAAATGTTTTTGGAGTTTTCCAGAATTGATGTCAAAAATGTTACTATTTGTGTCATAAAGGGACAACTGGAACCACTCTGAAATGATGAAGAAAGGATTTCTCTGGTAGGCTTGGCAGTCAGACAAAAGGAGTTAGTTACAAATGTAATTTTTCTTTACAAATCTATCAGTTGAGTTTTTGAGTCATAGTTAAAGAAGCATACATATGACTGAGCATTGCTGGAGGAAAATGGGAGAGTTCTATAAAATAATGGTAAATTACAGATTCATGGTAGCTTCTTCAGAGAGGGAGAGTTTGTTCAAAGCAGTGATTTCTCAGTTTGCAGTCTCCCTTCAAGGAACCTGGTGCATGTTAGTAGAGAAAAGCACTGCAGAGAGGTGTGTACACTGAATAAATCCTTTGAGCCATGCTGTGCCACGCTGAGACCTGCTGAGACTGCCTGGCAGACCCCTGGTGCTGAAAGTCATTCCCAAGGCAGAGCATTAGTATGACTTGTCTTTCCTCAGCAAGGCTGTTAAAAATCTACAGGCTAAAGCTATCTAAATATTACAGTTGTAACATGTTTTAACCTTTTTTTCTTGACTCTCACCTTGAAGTGTAGAATGGTTTGTACAGTATAAATTTCATACATTTTATTTTACTTATAATTGAGCTTTATTTCTTAATTAAAAGTAGAAAGGAAGAATAACCCAAGGTTTTAGCGATACCTGACTTTTCAGACAAGAAAGCATATATTACCTACACGATGGGAAATTAAGATTTAACATGTTGAAAATATGATGCAATTTAAAAAAACCTGATTGTATCTTAAGGGCAAACAAAAACAAAATAATATAATGGAGGATGTACAAACCTACCAAATATTACCTATCCACATAATCAAATTAAAACATTTTTAAAAAGAACATGAGAGATTTCTAGGCATAACTGCACAAAAATGTAAGGCTTAAAGGTTTTTCTCAACCTTTTTCCCTGTCTCCCTCTCTCCAAGGATTTGCTGTGAGTCTTCAAGTGATCCTGTCCCATCCCAAAGCCGTATTCAAGCGTCGTGGTTCTCAACCAGGAATGCAAGAATCTGATTTTCTGAAACAGATAACAACAGTGGAAGAACTGGAGCCAAAAGCAAACAACTGCACAAAGGTACCGATTGCCACACTTGGTGAAAAGCTTTCGTGTCATCTCTGCAGATGACTTTACTGACACACATGGTAGTTTGTACTTTGTGAGAAGCTTTCATCTCTGTAGATGACTTCATTGACACACATGGTGTTTTCCAGGTTCTTGTATGGCACACCCGAACAGAGAAAGTGAACCTAGCTAACGAGCCAAAGTACCACCTGGACACAGTGAACATTGAGGTATGACGGGGGCACAGTCCCACAAGAGCAGGACCATGGACGCACCAGTGCTTCGGACAGCTAAGGTCGTCTGCTGCTGCTGCCTGAGACCTGACAGACTTCTGTGGAAACAAAAGGAAGCTTTCAGAGACTCTAATAAGCAAATCAAGTGGGTGTGCTTTGTTCTAACTTGTCTGCATGCATTTCTGAACTCTCAGCTTAATAAACTCACGCTTACCTTTGTTTTAACGCTGTTTCCACACACATAAACATGGCTGCAATGGAGTATTTTCAAAATCATTATTTATGTATATACTTTTGTATTTATCCAGCTTAATGGTGTAATTATAAACTGATTTTAACTCACAAACTGTTGGTCTAAATATCTGTACAAATGGATCCTCCAAACTGAACATGTTTTACTTCATTAGAAGTAGCAGTCAAACAGGTCATACAATAATGAAATAAAAAACCCACAATCATTTACGGATTTATCCTTTTAATATAGGGAAATAACATTTTATCATTACGAGGCACCATAAAATGTAAACACAATCACTGTCATAAACCTGGATCTGTCTGCAAGACAAAATATATCTGTTCACACTGAGTTACCTTGAATGCATATTGTGCTGTCAGTTCTCTTTTAACACTGTGCGCTTGCCTCCTGAGCCAGGTCAGAGACTTTACCACAGGAAACTCAAATGCATCAAGTGCTCATCTTTAGAAGAATAAACTATTGATTTGTAGAACTACAGTAACATCCAGGTTTATCTTTCTTTCAATAACCACATTCCCTGTTATGCACACCATAACAACATCACAGTGAAATGTATGATGAAACAAAATTTGTTTGATACACTAGAAAACATTGCTCAGTGATACATTTACATTCTATTTATATATGATTAAACATTTGTTCATACAGTACCTTCTACAGGATTACTGGGTAATTTTGGGGGAGTTGGGGTTCATATTTTTGAGTATTACTAACATGATAGCTACATCCCTTATATGCAAACATTTGATCTAGAATTTTGAGGGAAAAAATCAGTATGTGGTTAAGCAGCTTCTTAATATGGTCTATGAAATCATATGCATTGTATGAAAATGCTTCCAATGATGTATAAATATATTTGATCTGCTTTTCACTACATCAAATTTAAATCAATATAGACCACAACACGGTCAGTCAGTTATATCCTTAATCTGAACAGCTGGGGAAAAAGAAAAAGAATATATATGTACATGGAAGGAACAGCAAAAGTAAATGTATTTAAACAAGGAATGTTAGGTGGCTGTTCTGGGAAAGATTTCTATTGCAACTTTCATTTCCACAGTTGTGTGCTGAGAGTCTGGCCAGAGGAGCTTCCAGTCCATCCTGCGGCTGTGCTGGGGGGCTGCCCAAAGCCCATCACGTTGCTGGAACTGCTGAGGTTCATTCCAGCCATTTGCTGATTCATCTGCAAAACACACACACAGAAACCTGGTTAGCAATGGCACTGAAACACATCATGCTGCTAGTCAAAAACAGTCCTGCCTCCAACCAGCCACCCGGTTACAAGTACATTTCCCTAAAAATATTTCTCATTAAATAAAAATATTAACTCTATCTAAGTTTCTAAGCTTTTTCTCATACTATCAGCTTTTCTGGAGCCCTTCAACCACCAACATACATCAGCTGATGGGCTGCAGCACCTGGTGTATGTGTCACATGAGAACTGACAGCATGTGAAGGAGGTGGCCAGTGTGGCTGGTTGGTAAAAGTTTGCTTTCACTGTTTCAAATCTAATGAACAAAACTGTAGTAACTGCAGTAAAGAAACAGCAAAGCCAGTAATATATTCTTATCTGCACTTGCAGTTCAGATTTTTTTTTTCCAGCAACATTTCTTTGGATATTTCATAATCTTGACTACATCAGTTTTTACAGAAAATGTCCATTTCGGTGACAATCAACAAAGAAGGAGGTATGAGGTGGATTTATAAACTTGAGTATTATCCAACCATCTTTGCTAAAGAATCTACCCAAGATACTGTAATTCCTTAAAAAACAAGTAATATAATCCAGATGAAATTAAATTCAGATGAATTTAACATCTAGTTAAAGGTGGGAAAGAATTCAAAATTCAGCCCATTCACTTCAGAGCTGCTGCAAAACTATTGTAGTCTTTACAAATATCTAGTCACTGTAATTTTAAATGCTCAATGTCAAAATGAGTTTAGGAGCAAAAGAGCATTTGGAGCAATTAATAATCAAAGCCAATGAATAGAGATGTTGGATAAGTAACATTTGATTCAAACAAAAGGCAGCACTAGGTAAAAGTCTTAGTTTCATTTTACAGCCTGGTATTATTCACTCATGTTTAAATAAACTCTAACACTGGTGAAAAATTCAAGTAAATTGCAAACTAGTATTTCAGTGTAAAATTAAGTTCTGTATGCTTTCACACAGAACTGTGTATCTGCAGAAAACAAGACACCACTGAACCTGGAAATATAAAAAAGGCTGATAAAAACATGCTTTACCCAGTGGTTCATCTCTTCTGGAGTAGAATTCTTAAGCAGCAGACTATATAAAACATGTTATCTGGTAAAGCAAGCTCTCCCCCTTTCAACTAGTCAGAGTTTAGATCAGAGTTCTGCAGACTGTGGAATGTCATCATACTGACAACATCTGATGTGCAAGGGGTACAGGAACATGTGAAGAACTTGTTCAAGGAGCCAAGTTTTAACATGTAATTGATAAGAGGCAAGACTTTAATTTCAAAGCTGATATGGGTCTTTTTAAACCTAGCTACCTAAGAAAAGACTGCCACCAGTATATCCACAGATTTTTTTGATCTGACATTTTGAAATTCTCACCTTTAAGAATTACTTTTCAAGGCAGAATGACAGCCTGTATTTTCAAACAGGGGCTTTTTTATCCACGTAGGCAATGCTGTTTACCTTCATAAATGTTCACACCGTAAAACGGAGCAGAACAGTAAAAATTCATATCATTCAATTTAAGTCAGTCACTAAGGTTCTCTTCCTGCATTACTAAGTAAGCAGCATGGAATTATTATATTGTTATCATAATACAAACAATAGTATAAAAAATAGTTGCTATCATCCATGCTGAACTCCAAGGGAATAATTTAAGTCTGATCCCGCTGCCTCACCCTGCCCCAATAAACACTCAAATACTTGATTTCAAGATGTTTCCTTGGAAAATGTACAAATACAGCACTACATGTACATTAACCCTCTAGAGACTCTTTGAACATGTTTAAAACATAGGATGGAAATGCTACAGATAAATAACAGATGCACCTAAGCAAATTCTCTATAGGAAAATGTTAAGAGCAGAAAGCACTTCACATCCCATCAAAATTTATCCTGAAATCTGAATGAAAGTATTAATTGTTAATGGCTATCCTCGAGTAGTTAAATTCTGCTTTTAGTCATAAGGCTGTGTTCCATTTCAAAATTTTGTAACTCTACCTGAGCTAAGCTTTTTACTTGGCTGGCTCTGATGACAGGATGATAAGAGCTTTGGAAGCAGAGTTTGGTCTACCTTGGCAAAATTATTCTCTGCTTTCATAGTAGTTATCTTTCATTGAACTATTCACTGGTTTGTTAACATATGCCACTGAGCAGTTCACAGTCCAGTAGTCTTTAACTTGGCTACACTTGACCTTCCTCCTACAGCCACACATTTTGTATCTGAAAAGCATCATTCTTCCTAAAGCACTCTTGTCTGGAAATTGCCAGCCTTTACCTGAGAGAGGTTCCATTGAGCTTGTTGGTTTTGTTGCAATCCATACTTATTTTGTGGTGGTGTGACCATCTGTCCCACCATTCCACCTTGAGGTCCAACGACAGTTTGAGGAAGTCCCATCACACCAGTTGGTGCAGTACCAGTAAATCCATTGGGCACTCCCACTCCTACCATCACGCCTGTGCTTTGTCCCATGACTGGCACTGATTGTCCCATCATGTTTCCCATCATCCCAGTTGCTGCTGGCACAGGAACTCCCATGGCTGGAAAGCCTTGAAAGTGAGTTGATGGTTGTGTGGTAAATGGCATAGAAGACGAACCCATGAACATGCCTGTACCAGAGAAGAGAAGGTTTCAGCAGAAGTGTCTTGTGACTTTCCACCCCCATCCCATAAGTCAGAAGTGCACCAAAATAATTTTAAGTATAACTCTGTCCATCTGTATGTCATTGCTGCCAATTTAGCTTCTGGTAAAAGCAAAAATTACTTTAAAACTCTCAAAGGAAAGGGACTCACCACGAGCTAAACTGCCAAGAAATTCTGGCATCCCTGTGGTGAACCAGAACCTTTCAGTTGGTGTATTGGAGGTCTTTGTGTTCACACAAACACAGCTAAACCAAAGCTCTGACAGTTCTGCAGGGATCCTGGCAGACTGCTGCCTGCACACTGGAGACTCAGACCCTCACTGACTAATTGCATGGCAGAATCAGACTTCACAAATCTTTCCGTAAATTGTACAATTGGTAACTTGAACAGCTATAAACAAATTAAAATCACATATATGTTTTTCTTTAGCATCCATATTACATTTCAGTAATTTTTCTCAGTTTTATAAAAGCTGAAATTAAAAACCTTCATTTGAGTATAGTTTAGCAGGTGTCCAACCTTAGCTTTATACATGTACTTTTCTAGATAAAGATTAAAATAGGACTGCACAGAAAGCTTCACAACATTATTTACCCGGAGCATTTTGCTGCTGCATTGTTCCTGTGCCATAGAGTGATAAAATGGAGTCTTTGGAGAGTTGTTTCTTCGCTGACTCTTCGGATTTTGTTGTTTGCTCAGTAAATAGATCAAGATCCCCGGCTGCTCCAGACAAGGTGGCAGCTGCTGGTTTAGTGGAAGTGCTCTGGGAAATAAAAGACAAGACAGACTACTGAAAGAAAACAGCAAAAGATGATGTTAAATATTTGCTGTACAGCCTTGCCCCTCAACTTAATAAAACCTCATTAATTTACAGAAACTAAATTTAAGTGAATGGGAATTTAAAAATATGTGGTATGACTAAAGACAGAAAAAAGCAATGTAGGCAATACGGAAAGACCTTCAGACCAGATGGAGGTTACAAAACAAAAAAAACTAAATCTTCAACCAGCTTCAGGGCGTACACATACAGATTATTCATTCCTGTTGCTTCTACATTTTTCATCAGTGAGAAGCATAAATCAAGAACTGGAGTTAGATTATGAAAAATAATTAGGAAATCAATAAGGAGATTAAAATTCACATTTCATTAATCCTCTCATAGGCAGAATAGATTAGAGAAGAGCTAAAACAAAAGATTAAGTGCTTTGAAATGTATCTTTAGAGAAAAGGCAAAATTTTGGTTATCTACTTCAAGTAATAAAATTTCTAAAATACATTGTTTATAATTGGCTTAGAATTCTGTAAGCATGTTTCACTTATTGAGAAAGCATAATTATCTAAAACTTACTGCAATCTACAAATGAAAAACTAACATACAGGCAGGCTGGCAGGCTTTGTACTGCTCTTGCAATAGAATGTTTTGTAAGCAAATTACATCCAGTCTCTCAGTGCTGTTATGCTGCTGTTCACACCCATCCACTTCCATGTGGAGGCTTTACTGGGGAAGCAGGCAATACATAAGTTCTTGTTATATTCCTTAAAATGCACAACTCATCCTGTTACCAGTGGGAACTTCTAATGCAAATCAACTGCATACACAATGAAAAAGAGCCAGGACTGCAAATCATACTTAAACTATGGCCCTATTTATTCCAGCTAAGAGATCTCCGACTGCTTAGCAAACACCTACTGCACCCACAGCTTGCATGAGTTTCAACTCTTCTCCATACTAAAGGAAAATCTTCCTTGGAATATCACTGTCAATGAACTCAACATGTAACCAGGTCTGTTTATTGAGACACTCAAGTTTAGCAGACAAAGGACACCACAAAATACACAGATATGGAACACCCCTACAATCTTCCTTAAAGCAACTATCTCCAACCTGCTGCTTTTGCTGCTGTGCTGTGACTAAGCCCTGAAAAGTCCACTATGGTCACACTGGATTTGTTACAAACACTACAACACAAATATTCAATCTGCAGCTTCAAAAAACACATTACGTGTATGACTTCTGAAGTGCTAAAACCTCTAGCATAAAGCGGTGCCATAGATAAAGGGGAAAAAAAATAATAAAGCAAACACCAACACAGACAAATTCTGTTACCAGCTAAATTTGCAAGAAACCAGCAAAAGAAAGAAGTGCAGATTCATACAGTCGATGGTGAAAATTTTCCAAAACTGTTGTAGAAAGGGAAGAGAAAAAAAAAACAAAAAAAATTGGGAACTTCCTGGAAAGTGAAAAGCTTGCATTTATACTACAGCCAATTTGGGCCAAGTTGACTTAGTGGGCAACCAAGAGTGGGCTGACAGCACTACAGAGGGAAAGCAAACAGAAAAATACCTATGAAACCTCTCTGGCCACTCTACAATTAAATTTTCCATTTTTTTCTGTAGATACTAAAAAAAACCTTCTTCCTTGTCCTTCTCACAATAATTTATGATTGCAAAGCAAATAATTTTTTATTTAAGTGGGTAGTAAGAAGCCCTATTTGAGACAATGCTTTATCAGTGTGACATAACCAGTCTTTAAAAATACCAGAATCAGATTTAACAACACATTCAGGTAAAAGCCCATCCTGAAGAGCAGTATTGCTTTCCTGTGCATACACCCAGGAAGGCCCATTACTGAATTGTTCCCTACTAGGACAGCCCCTGTGCCACAGCCAGGCTGCAGGGAGGAGCACACAGGAGCACCACAAGTGGGTGAACAGAGAAAGATTCCCCTCTGCTGCCTGCAGGCAGCAAGGAAGGGATTTACTCTTCTCTAGAAGGCAGAGCTGGAAGCCTGGAGGTCTGATCATGTTATGTTTACAACCTAAGATTAAATGTTCATTTAACGTCTCTTCATTCGGTTTGGTTTTGGAAGATCCTCAAAGGAGCCAAAGCACCGGACAAGCACTCCCTGAAGTGTTCATCAGCTGAATAAATGGAAGGTAATGCAAAATACATGGCAAGAAAACAGCAGGTGGCATCCAAGTTAAAAACCAAACAACACTGACATGATTTTTGTATCTCTAACATTGTCATGCGACCCAAGACCTCTATAAAAACACCCCTGGCATTCATATAATCATTTTCCTACACACAGTGCTCTTAGTGAGTCATTATGCTAAACCTAAATGCTCATTAGGTGCTTAAGGATCATACTGATAAGCAGTTTCATGATATCAGGGCAACAGAATTTTTCCTACAAACTGAAAGAGAGGTGGCAACACAGGAAATGAAAGAATGAAGTGGGACAGTGGGACACATGGGGTTGAGAGAAGGACTGCAGGAGAGAAAAAAGCACATGTGCACTTTCCTGCTATCGCATGGCTCTGGCTCTGGCTGGTATCCAGGAAAGCAGGGATGGCCTGTAGAAAAGCCAGGCCTCCACTGTTTTCTATTTGTATGGTGATAAATAACAGCCCCACACAACATTTTCAATTTCTCCCTGCTGACTGGAAGAGCTATTTGCATAGGGAAAATACAGCCTGTCACACAATTATTCTTAAGTAAGCAAGGTACTAAGTACATTATTAAGGTCTTAAATTCTATATACAATTCTTACCCTTTTTGTCTTTGCACTGTAAATGGACTTGAGGTTTATTTCAACTCTTCCTGTTTTGATTTTGTGTATTTTGGTTTTAGAAATCTACCCAGTTCCATTAAAAATAATCAACTGTTATTTCCTGTTAATAACTAATGAGGAAATGAGCACTCAACTATATTCAGTTCACAAAGAAAAACACTAAGAAATCTCACCTGTTCTCTTGCATTTAGGAATTATCAGCAATATCTGAAAAATACTAAGATTTTTATCACTTTCTCAGATCATATCCAAGAATATAATTAACCCTACAATAAGATTAAAAATTCAACTTTATTTTTTGCTGCATGTCCAGCACTCACAACAAGCAATATGTTTCCTTTGCAATCCTCTTTGTCTAGGCTTGAAAACATTTATCTTCCCTGCAGTCCCATTTCCAACTCCTTCTTCAGATTTCCCTTCTCTAGAACTCAAAATAAATTTTTGTTCCTTTAGACTCTGTTCAGCTGACTCCTTCTGGTTCTGGAGTATGATGTCTGCTCTTTCACTGTGCTCCACCTAAGGCATTTAAAGCACCTAAGAGAGTATAATCATGGATTCATAAATGGTTTGGGTTGGAAAGGATCTTAAAAAACATCAAGTTCCAACCCCTTGACATGGGCAGGTCACCTTTCACCAGATCAGGTTACTCAGAGTCCTGTCCAATCTGGCCTTGAACAATGCCAAGGATGGGGGCATCCACAACTTCTCTGGGCAACCTGTTTCAGAGTCTCACCACCCTAACAGTAAAGAACTTATTCCTAACATTTAATTGAAACCTACCCTTGTTCAGCTGGAAGACATTCTCCCTTGTCCTATCACTAGACTCCCTAAAAAAGAGTCCCTCCCCATCTTTCCTGTAGTCCACTTTCAAATACTGAAAAGTTACTATAAGGTGTCTCCAGAGCCTTCTCTCTTCTCCAAGCTGAACAACCCCAACTGTCTCAGCCTCCCTTCACAGGAGCAGTGCTCCATCCCTCTGAGCATCTTTGTGGCCCCCTCTGCTCCAACAGGTCCATGGTGGGACCTTGCAACGCTGGGAGCCCCAGGCTGCAGGCAGGGCTCTCAGGAGAGTGTAGCAGAGTCAGGCAATCACCTCCCTGCGCCTGCTGCTCACATTTCGCCTGATGCAGCCCAGGATACAGCTGGGTTTCCAAGCTGAAAGGGCACACTGCCAGATCTCACTCAGATCTGCACCCACCAGCCCCCCTAAATCCCTCTGGGCAGGTCTGCTCTCAACTTACTGCCCAGCCTGAAGTCACGTTGGGAATTGCTCTAATTCCGTTCCAAGGAATGAAACTTTTGCTTTCAGATACCTGAAAATCTAGACAGGGGTAAAGCAAACATAAGCACAAGCTACAAGCATTTCAACTGATTCTATTGGAATAGGACTACATAGCACTCATGATAAAGCAAATTTCTGAAAAAGCACATTTTTTACAAAAAATCTCAGGACTTTGACACACTAACATCACCACAATTCATTAATAACCTGAAGCTTGTTTGCCAGTCTATGGCAACCATGGAAGACACACACACTGGACCTCAGGGAAAAATAAGTATTTATGAACACCTCTTTATCTAAAAAATGCCACCAAAGTTGTTCAGATATGAATCATGAAAAACACACTCCATCTCTAAGAAAATACACTTTTGTAGCCACTGAACTGATTCTCAGCTTCCAATACAGTACAATTCAAATCAGGCCCACATACACACACAAAATCCAAGAAAGTTTAAGTTGACTAAATTTGAATGTCCTGCTTGGAGAAAGACATATTTCCAAACTTAATACCTCACAGTTCTCCCCTTGTCTTTCTTCCCTACAAATTTCACTGAAGAATGAAGTTCACACTTTTGCTGGAAGACATACTATACAAAATTTGAAATTAATATCTGGCTAAAACAATTTAGGAAACTGTTTTAATATAGGTAAAAATGATAGACCTTTGCTCAGTTCCTATACAATATTTGGCAACAAACCCTATTCTAATACCTAAAATTTAGCTATGCCCACTTCACATGAAAAAAAATCATTAAACATATGAAATGTTCTTCTTTCCTTTCTGTGCCCATGAATAATGCATAATTTATAGCACATGCCTTTTATCTAGTCCTACTGTAGAAGCGGCTTAAGGTAACTCTTCTTAAACCCCCTGAGTTTGCTAATAGGTAAAATTCTATAAAAAACCAAATTACTCTGTCACATATTGTTCTTTACCTGTCCTTTATAAATTCAGCAGTTTGCACAATAGCATAGAGCTATACAGAATGGTAGGAAGAAACATTTAAATATTTTTGAAAACTGTGATAAAGACACATCTGAAAGCAGAGTCAAAGTACTCATGATCATCAATGCTCAAGTCACAATTGAAAAAGGAGAAACAAATGCTTTTGTTTTCACTTGAAAAACACGTTTGGCTATGACAATGGACATAAATCCTAAGTTTTGCAGACATCATGATGTTTCAGTCTCATAATAAAACATTCAAACAGACATTTCTGTGCTCCACAGTGCCATAAACCAGAGTGCATTTAGCATCAAATGCTGCCTTTCAGGTTAAAATGGAGAAGAAAAGCAATCTTGTGAAAACTCAAGGGTCATACAGATCAGTTTGAGGAGCACCAATAAATTCCCTTCTTTTTCAGAAGAAAACCTCTCAAATCCCACTGTAGCACCTCAGACACACCTACAGTGCAGAACATAATGGTAAATATCTCAGCGAGAAAGCAAGCCATGCTATTCCACATTTTATCCCCTTCTTCTACCTAATTTTTAAAAATTTCAATACATTCCATTAATAGATATTCAAACAAGTTCAAATTAGGGTTTCACCATGGACTTCTACTTTAAATTTTCCAATTTAAAGCACAGGAACTGAATGTTAGGGTTACTCAACTGCTGATCTGAGTTCATGCCCACTTCACAAATTACAGCCTCACACAAAATAACTCCACATTATAATCACATCTCTTATTTACTTCAAGAAATTTAAATAGACCAAGTCCTTAAACCCTCCCACAATAAGGCACCCGTATCCTCCTAACTCTTCTCACAATCCCATACAACTTATTTCCATGTTGCAAGGTGAAAGATCTCACAAAATACTTATAGCACTGCCAAATGAGAGGCAACTTCTCCCCAGTCTCAGTTCCCAGACTAGACATCACCATCCTGAAACAGAAACGTGCAAGGTCTTGATAATCCCCAAGAAAAACAGAATGATAATAATAATATTCAGGATAATAAAGAACCAGGATAATAATAGTAATATTCTCTTTGCCCCACTTTAGCGAGCAACCCACGTAATCACCATCAGAAACCTGTCTTCTGCTACCTACCTGTGCTCCTGTCTCTTATCTGTAGATTATCTGATCACATTACATTTTCTTTGAGATACTGATTAAAACCAGAAGATAACCAAGAATTAAATCTTGCAATACACCACAAGGATCATGTGCTTGATAAAAAACTGCTTGCTGAAAGTTCTGTTTGTTCCTCCTGATTACAGCACTCAGAGGAAAGAAAAATGTCACTACAAATCCAGACAGGTTTGTTCACAGCAAGTGAACATATTAATGCTTTCTAGTATACAAAGGTGATACTCCCCAGATATTGAGATAGTATTGTCCTTTCTACCACTTTTTAATCAATTTAGTAGTACCATGCCTAGTCTAGAAACTAGCACAAAGACGAACACCATGTCAAAATATTCCTCTCACAAAAAAAAAGGTCCAGTGACCAAATCTTTATCACAGAAATGAATTTAATATGTTATATATACATACAATTCAGTATGCTTTAGTAGCTACTCTATTATTTAACCCATCACTAGTCATCATCACCTAGGGTATCACCCTTCACTTTGCTTTTTTTCACTCTTAAATATTGAGCCTTCTTTTGGATTTCCTGCATTCTTCAGCTAAATAATTCTTTAACCAACACATCACATCACATATCCAAGGAATAGAAACAAAAGAAGGCTTTTCTTTCTCAGGTTGCTCTTTTCTCCTGGGCATGCAGTAACTATATACAGCAGTCATCATTTCCAGCTTCAGAATGACTGCAAAGGGAGAAAACCAGAATTCAGCGCTACCCATTATGTACAATACTACCATTGGCCCCTTTATTTTGAGGCCAAGTGACAAATTCAAAATTCTAGGTTTGAATTTACTCAATCTGCACCCAAATGTAATAAATTAAAAACTAAGGGAAGCTAGAAAGGGGTTACTGCTTTCACATCTAGCTCTACAGGGATCAATTCTGACATAAAGCGTTAGAATACCAGACAACAAGCACTCAAATATTGCTGTTCCTGGTACTTTGACCAAAGACTTCCACAAGAGATAAGAACATCTACATCAACAATGTCCTTTGCAATTTTAGCTAACACATCCAAATTGAAATGCAAATAGACATGTTATTTCCCTCACTGTTTATGGGTAGCTTAACACATGGTGGAAAGCTTGCTCTATCTGAAGCATTGTGTTTAAAAAGAAATGTGGTTTCAGTCTCTGAAACCCTCACTAGCATGTTGCACAAAGTCAGCCCTCAGCAGCAAGTAGGGAAAGGGAGAGTAAAGGATAACAAAATGTGTTGAATAACATGTATCTGCTTTAAGGCACTCAGAACTCCTTTTCATCATTATCCCTTCCATTGTGCATACTATGAAAACTAAAGGATGAAAAGAGTACAGATCTACATGTCCAAAATCATAAATTCAGGAATACACACAATCCTTTCTGGTTCAGCAGAGTGAGACAGAAAGCCCTACACAAAAATAAGCTTCTAAACGACCTTAACAAAATGCCCCAGATGGGGAAGCTAGCCCAGCACTACTCCAAAACCTCCCTCTGAGAAGCCAGTGTGGGTTAAGGAAATCTGCACATGTGTACCACCAACACCCTGCTCTTTGAGTCATATGGCTACTTCAGGAGAGCTGCAGCTTCAAGCAGTTTCTCTGTTGGCCCTTTCCAGGCTACAACAGGCATGGTGACGGTTTGCTTCCAAACTATCATGGCTATCAAACTATCATGGAGCAGGCCATGCACAGGAGTTATGCTACTCTCAAGTACAATTTCCAAGATGATACAAAAGACAGATCAGTCCAGGTAGCAATATAAATTTTTCTTGATATCTGTTCTTGATTTTGAGTATGAAACCTCAGACCCCAAATTTTTAGCATGTCTAAGAGAGAAGCATCTGCTGCAGCCTTTCCTAAATATCAGCATCACAAAGAAATAAGAGGTCTTAAAAAGTATTACTTGATTCCCAATAACCTGAGAACATAAAGTTATATTCAGCAATACCTATTAAAAAAAGAATAAGACCAAAGAATATAAATGAAAAGAAAACATTACTACCATCACCATGGTAAGACAGAATCCAATTTAGCTGGATAACCAGAAGGAAAGACCACACCATGTACTTCTATATCCAAGCAGTCCAGAAGCTTGAAGAGGCGAGAAAAATATCAGTATTACAGTTTTAGCATCTAGTCATGAGGTGCTTAAGATGTGTAGAGAACTGTGCACTCCTTCTCTGTGAATGAACAATTTCCTGAAGGAAAATCCACATGTGCATGCACATATTTACACATACATATAACTAAATACACTTAATAAATTTTACCTGAGCAGGAGGTACTGCAGCTGCTGGTAAAGGATTAGAGATCATGGGGCCAAAGATATCCAGGTCATCATTCAGTGCTGTGACAGCAGCAGTGCCTCCATTTGTAACAGATGCTTCAGCTGGACCATCTAAAAAAGCAACAGAATCACCCTTAAAGTGAAAATTATGAATATCTTAACGTGATGAGAACAATTAAAGCTGCTTATTCCCTCCTGCCCTGCCCCCATCAAAGATGTGCTCAATTTCTGAGATATTTTTCAGACTGCAATATTGTTCAGATTTTGTAAAGACCTCTTTCCTGAAGAAGATGGCACATTACTGTCCTTCAGAAAAAAACTAAACAAAAACCAACCAATGACAAAAAACCTACTTAAAACTTCCCTAAGGACAACCACACCAACACAGCAGTACACACTACTTATTTTTCAGGAGTCTCTGCACACCAAGATTTGTAGTAAGAATTTAAATAGATGTCTTACTGAGAAGGTCCAAATTTGGTAGCCATATATCAGACAAAATACACTCATCTGTGCTCCAGAATGAAAATCTGCATTTTAGAATCCAGGAAGTTATTCTTGATATGCTAATTTACTCAAGAGTACATAAATAAAATTTGCATGAGGGAAAAGGTCCACCCTTTTTCAAAAGTCCTTTGCACACACTTTATTCTGTAGCTCCATATGAGCACACCTGCCAGGCACACTGAGCTAATAACCTGTAAGAACCTATGGTTCTCACTCTGAGCCTTGGTGTCTGTAAGCCACTTTAACACACAAACACATTTACTGATCTAGGTGAAAGTGGATGCATGCATGACAAAAAAAGAATCATACCTTAAAGAGAATTTGCAATAAAGTACTTTAAAAGATACAGGGACACAAATATCACAAAAGTGTTTTTAAGGAACAGAACAACTATCCTCTTTTGATTTCAAGCTGCTCAAGAAAAAGGCTTAAGAATTGGCTAATAAATGTATACCTAAGCATATAACAAGTGGGTTGCCATTACATAGGGCTTGACAAATACAAAGGTGACTCTAGATTCTGCTATGACTGAATAGTCCTAACAGCAAGTTTAAGAAAGCTTATATAGGCAATAGAAGAAGTTAAGTCTAAAATTAACCAATCTCAGTGCAGAAGTTAGACTTCTCTGGTAGAACAACCTAGCTAATTAAGTCAAAACTTTCTCTGCAAAAGAAACACTGCCATGACTGGCACAGCTGTTTATATATCACAGGAGGGTCAGTATTCCAAAAACCCTAAAGTACACTACACTGAAAACAGTGCACTAACATCGTAAGACTGCATTCTGAAACAATCCACTCAGAAGATCATTACCCACAGACGCTGTGCTGGTTTTGGCTGAGATAGAGTCAATGTTTCTCTCAGTAGCCAGTATGGGGCTCTGATTTGGATCAGTGCTGGAAACAGTTGATAACACAGGGATGTTTTCATTATTGCCAAGCTGCGCTTGCACAGCGTCAAAGCCTTTTCTGCTCCCTACCCCACCCCACCAGTGAGGGGCTGGCAGAGCACAAGGAGCTGTGACAGCACAAGGAGCTGTCACAGCCAGGCCAGTGACACCAACTACCAAAGGGATATTGCATACCTTACACATGGTGCCATGCTCAGTAAATATAGCAATGGGAAGAAGGAGGAGGAGGAGGAGGAGAAGGAAGCCCTTTGGAGTGACGGCATTTGACTTCCCAAGTCACTGTTACATGTGCCGGAGCCCCAGTTTCCTAGGGATGTCTGAACGGCTGCCTGCCCATGGAAAGGGTGGATGAATTCCTAGTTTTGCTTTGCTTACATGCACAGCTTTTGCTTTATCTGCTAAACTATTTTTATCTCAACCAACAAGGATTCTCACTTTTGCCCTCTGGATTCTCTTCCCCATCCCATGAGGGGAGAGAGCAAATGGCTGTGTGAGGCTTAGTTGCCAGCTGGGGAAAACCATGACAGACGCCTTCTCATTTCTGTCTGCTTTCCATGAAGGCCAAGTGGCCATGGGAATGAGTTAACACTAGTAGATCTATACTGAATAAAAAGTGAGCAGCTTGAGGAATGTGAAGTAGCTACCTCAGTCAGTTTTATTACTCTTCTGTGATTTGACTTTGCTGGGGGACTGTTGTTGCACTGATTCTGAAAAGTTACAAACTCAGCCATGATTAGGATGGAGCTACTTACACCTTAATGCAAAGGTTGCCTCTTTCCCTTATTTCTGATGAAAGGAAGCCAGTGGATAGCAAAATGACCATATGTATAATCTACTGCACCATTGGATGCACATTAGTGCTTTGAGATGTGTGCAAATAAATGTACTGGTCATTTAAGCATAAGCTTCTTTTGAGGTCATTCTGCAGACTGGCAGTTCCAAAAACATCTCCCCAAAGGTTCACTGTTTCAGATATATTTAGGAATGAACTGTGCATAATTTTCAAGCAAAACAACTGTCAGGAATTAATAATTTAATGTTCTCATTTTCTCAGTCAGGCGTATGTATTTAAAAAAAAAAAATCTTTCTTGTCACATTCCAAAGTAGTTCAGATTTCCTGAATGTAAAAGTGTTTAACATAGAAGACTGAAATTTAAATGCAAATTTCTGAAATTTTTAAATGCTAATTTACTGAAACAAGCACTTCACATATTTAAAACAGTCATGACAGAACTCATTTGCAAAGATATAGTATTTTTCAAGTATTTAATATGCTGCTTATAAATTAATATTATGAAAACTCAGATTTTTGCTAGATTTGTTCTGTAAGAATGCTATTTGGCAATGTACATGGCTTTCATCTGTTACTGAATAAATACCTCTCTGTCTCCACTGATGCAGAAACCAGACATTTTGAATTACTGTTTACAACACTGCTTTAAGCCAGTGTGAATAGCATTAATAGATGATCCTGTTTTACTGATTTCTCAAAAGGTAATAAAAGAGACTCCAAAAACCTTCCCCCTTCCCTACTGAAAGAAATAAGTTTCAGAATATAGAAGAAAACCAAACAGTGTTTTCACTCCAGTTTATTACTTGTAGCAATATTAGTCTTTCAATTTAAATATATTTGTATGCAGGCAGATACAAGCTTGTTTTTCAACAAAATAATTCACATTATTATACAGAGATTATGGACAGTCTCAACTTTAACACACTAGGTCAGGGATTAGGATGTATTTCCTCCTTTCTCTTTCATTTTAAAATATTTCTGTAATACAAAAAAGATACTTCAGCAGAATCCTCACTTTTAATTTACTCTAAATATGTCACTATTCCTACAACTTGTGCCACCTATCATTAAAACCCGATTAGAAGAGGTGGTGTGTATATGACAGAAGGAAACACAGCTGCAGCCTTTCCAGGGAACAGGTAAACATCAGATTAAGTTACATGGGCCTGAGTATTTTGAGACATTTATAGCTTCAGTCATCACAGGATTACTTTGAAGCAATTAGCTTTTGAGAAACAGTACTTCCATCACTTTTCTGGAGAACACATCCATAGCTAGGAATGAAATGTCAGATGTAGCAAAAACCACTGCAATGAGAGCAGAGGCAAAGCAGGGCTTCCATGCTCAGTCAGAGAAGGGAATGTGAGGAATCTACAGATGCTGTTCCTCACCCTCGCTCCTAGGTGTGGTTCCAAAACTTCTCTTCTTACAGTTTATGACAATTTTACACATAATATGTGACTATTGTCTGCCACAATGTAACAGCAGATGATGCTTCTGACTTCAGATTAGGAAATCTTGTTTCAGTTTGATAGCAGAAACAGGAACTGTTTACCAGGATGTACTCAATAAGACAGTGAAGGGTTCCAGTGAAGTTTACCTTTACATGTATAGATTTTATTAATCCCTGACATGATAACTTCCAATTCACTGCTGCCTTCTGTTATTCATATGCATCATAGCTTTCATATACATCATCAATCCTTGGTATATTTATCTGCACCAATAGTGAGAAAGACCAGCAGAAGGGCTTCAAAGAGACAGCAGGATAGGGAACAGCAAAAAAGCAGATCTGGTCTTAAACTCTAGATTCCTGAAGCTCATTTTTTATGGGACAAACTGTTTACAAGAACTTTGTTACTGAGCAGCCATGTATTTTTATATATACAATCATTTATGACAGCCATACCAAGACTTTCAATAAAGAGAATATGCATATGATTATTTTTTACACTAAATTACTAGAAAGGCAGAACTGAGAAAAACAGGTCAATAGTTCCAATGAAAATCTGGGGCAAAGATTCAAAGATTCAAATAAGGTCTGTCTGGCCAAAATTACTGCAGAATTATTTAATGCATAAGTAAAATTTTATTTACCTCTAAAACCTTTGCAGAAAGGAAAAAGCATTCACAGGGAAGCAATTTCTACATAATATTTCTGAAAATAAAATGCGGAAAGCCAGAAAGCTAGTAATGCCTCAAGTGGTTGTAAATGTTTTCCTTTTGGGTAGATATATTGCTTACCTAAGCATAATCTGAACATTGCAGCAATAGTATAAATGTTAACATATTTACAAGCTCAAGAAGTGGGGCCATGCAAACATCATGAGGTTCAACCAGCCCAAATGCAAGTCCTGCACCAGGTCTGGACAATCCATGCTACAAATACAGGCTTGAGGAGGAATGGATTGAGAACCCTGGAGAGCAGGACCTATGGACCCTGGAGGATGAGAATCTGGACACGAGCAGGCAATGTGCACTTGCAGCCCAGAAACTCAAAACTGTATTCCGGGCTGCATCCAAAGCAGCATGGGCAGCAGGTTGAGGGAAGGGATTCTACTTCTCCACTCTAGTGAGACCCCAGCTGGAGTGCTGCATCCAGCTCAGGGGTCCCAGCACAGGAAAGACATGGACCTGTTGCAGCAGGTCCAGAGAAAGGCTATGAGGGAGATCAGAGGAATTTCTCCTGTAAGGAAAGTCTGAGGTGGGGCTGTTCAGCCTGGATAAGAGAAGGCTCCAGGGAGACCTTATTGCAGCCTTCCAGTACCTAAAGACCTGCAGGCAAGATGGGGATAGACTTTTTATTAGGGTCTGTAGTGATACAACAAGGGGGAATGGTTCTAAACTAAAACAGGATACATTCAGACTAGATATAAGAAAGAAATTTTTCACAATGAGGATCATGAAAGGTTGCTGTTTCATGGGGCAACCCTCTCTGGGAGAGGTGGTATTCTCTTCCCTGCAAACATTCAAGGCCAGGTTGGATAGGGCTCTGAGTAACCTGAACTAGTTGAAGATGTCCCTACTTATGGCAGGGGGTTGGACTAGATGACCTTTAAAGGTCATCTGTTCTAGGAGTCTATGATCTATATGTGCATATATAATAATTATATATTTGAAAATCTATCTTCACTATTTCTTAAATACAACTTTCTGACTTAGGACCAACCATGCTGCTTTTGGTACTTATCCAACAGTCCAACAAATGACAAAACTACATTTCGCAGTTATGCAACATTCAGCTACATTTCACATCACTATTAACCTCTCAAAACTTCAGAGGACTTGTTCAGAAAATATTTCCCATGCAGAAGCAGATAAGCAGCTTTTAGTATATCATATTTTACCTCCAGTCATGCCAGATGAATGCCCCACACATCAAATTCAGTAAATACCATAATAAATCTGATTCCTTCTAGTTATTCATTGTACCTATAGCGGTTAATCCAGAATATGAAACTGTTTATTTTTTGAAGGGCACATCTAAACATGGTAAATGATGCAGAATATGTAAAATGCACTTTTCTTCTTTCTGGTAATTCTGTAAGGTAATATAATTTAAAACCACTATTTTTTCCTTTTTTTCCTCTCTATGTCAAAGTAATTTCTAAGTGGCATACCTTGGCAAACACAATGATCACAAACTGCCTGTGTAACATTCCAATATTCCACGGACATTTGTACATAACTATCATACCATTTTCTAAAAAATATTAAGAAATAATTTACATCAACCTGGCATAAGTGGAGACATCTACTTTGTAAGTATTAAAAACCAAAAAACAAAAAGAGCACAGAGCACAAGGTTAACACTAGAGAGATGAAAACACAGCACTACCAATCATGTAAGTGCTGAAGAACTGTGGTTTACACACTGTGACTTTCAAACCAAAGAGTGTTTCCTATAATTATCCTATTAAAAATTCATTTTATAACATCCTGTATTATTGATTTTAGTGTCAATTTTAGATCTCCACATTTTCAACAGGGCATTCTTCCAGCATGGGTAACATCCAAATAGTTGTAGAGATTACTAAAAAAGCAGCTTCAGGCTTGGCCTAGAGAAACAGACTGTTATTTCCCACTGCTTGGGAAGAGAGGGAAGGAATCTGGGGTTGCACAGCAAGAACACTGACACTGCTGCCTGTAGAGAGCATAACAATATTTAGTTTATTCATGTCCATTTCTCCACCTTTCTGTATGAGGAGTTCTGAACTAAAATCTAATCCGAATCAGAAAGCAAAAACCTATGAATGTTGTTGCATTATCAAAAAGTAAATACCTAAACAGCATCTCAATAACAACCCCCTGATGAGGAAATCAAGGGAAGCACACAAATCTATTTGAAAGGGCTCAGAACAAGCACAAAAGTGATAGTAGGGTCACTGAGGATATGCCTCTTCTCCTATTACAAGGTTAAAAGGTACAATTCCCCAAGTCATATTTTCTTGAAAATTTTGCAATTTGTAAATAAAAGTGAAAGAGAGTTTCCTTTTAGAAAATTGCCCAGCTATAATTTTCATAGGATAAGTCCTATCTAAGGAAGTTTACCTTCTGATGAGGTCACTACTGCAAAATCAACTACTGCAAAAACAACGACCCAGAGACTAACATCATACCCAAAGCTAGCAGTGAGGGTTACTCCAGAAAATACTTTGCCAAAAAGCTGGGCTGTTCTGAAAGCCAAAATTATTCTAGCATGAATTCTGATCCATTAAAATTACTTAACCTGCTATCACAAGTGGTTTTGAGCTGCCCTACTAAAAGCTAGTACTATTCTCCACTAGCAGAAATGAAGTCCTAAGAGAATGAATCCTCATTAGAAAAATGTCTGCTCAGTAAGAACGAGCTAAGGAATCATATCAATTTTAATATTATTTGATATGACATATCAAACATTTTAATCAGCAGCACATCACTGCAGCAAAAGAGGTGAGTGAAATTCTGGGATGTATCCACAGGGGTGTTACTTGCTGAGGCAAAGATGTGATCATCCCACTCGACTCAGCACTTCCCAGGCTTCACCTGGAGTCTGTGTCCCATTCTGGTTCCCACAATTCAGGACAGACACAGACTGGAGAGGGTCCAAAGGAGAGGCATGAAGATGGCCAAAGGGCTGCAGGACCTGCTCTGTGAGGAAAGACTGAAGGAGGTCAGTCTTTTCTCCCTGGAGAAGGGAAGGCTCAGGAAGACTCCATCCCAGCATGCCAGTACCTGAGGGGCAGCTAGGAGGAGGACACAGCCTCTCTCTGCACAACACACGGAGCACACAGGGAAGACAGGGGGCAGCAGGTACGAGTTTGTCAACGGAAGAAAGACATTTTTTACTGTGAGATCAATTGCTGGAGCAACTCCACATGTGGCAGAGCTCCCATGACTGGAGGTTGGCAGGCTGTGTGCCCAGACAGGATGCTAGATAGATAGGATGCTAGATAATTCCTCCACTCCCCTTCCTATGGACTCCTTGGACCAGAAGGCCATTTGAAGTCCCTTCCAACCTGGACTGCTCTGTGGTTCTGTGATGTACTGGGTTGATGTGACCTCTCTTTTAATACTATCTGAAGTCTTCTATTGCAGGTGCTAATTAAAAGACAACTCTCCAAATGAAATATGCAGGTCTGGTCTCATTAACAAATATCTCATTTGCAGCTCAGTGGATTCCAAGTGCTACTGGCTTATTACACTGCTTTTCAATTTGTTATTTAAAAGATCTTTAAGCATTCCCTCCTCTAAAATTATGGGGTTTTAACATACATATTATAAACTTTGCCCTTTTTATATCTCACTGAAGAAGCAGAGCTGTTGAGCACCAATTATAATACTGTTTTCATTGCACATTACATCTCAAGTTAGCCAATGTAATCTGAGTTCATTATCGTATCATAAAACAGTGTTGCCAAGATACTTTCCAAATCATGACCAACAGAATACAGAAGCCTAGCAATCTCAAAACCACATATTGATTAAATTTTAGGTTTTAATTAGGTTGTTGGTCTGCTAAAGGAAAATAAAGGAGAATCAGCTTCCCATCAGGTCTAAATTACTTTTTTTTTTCAAATAGGCTCATTCTACATTCATTCTACAGTGTTAATTAAGATTTGCATGCCTATAGTAGCAATTACTTGGAGTGAGATATGGACAACATACACATAACCCATGCAAAAATGGTACTTTACATTTAGCTCTACATCAGAGGGAAAAAAACACTGATATGAATGTGAATTTTAAAACAGAGAAAACATTTACTGTTTTGTCACATTATTCATACCTTGAAAGAAAAAAAATTTAAAAACCCCAAAACACTCTTCTACAAAGTGAAGTTTTTAGAATTGCATTTAAGAGACTTATTAGCCTCCTCCAATATAATGTAGAAATCATGTAGAAAATTAAGAGTAACCATTACATGGATAGAAAGTGAATACTCTTAATATCCATTCACTTGTTATCCATTGATATCTTATTCACAGTCAACTAACAGAAGATTTTCCTAACACAGAATTTCAAAAGGAAATAAAAATACTGCAATATTTTATTTTTCCATTTACATTTTAAGATTCAATCAAATGGAAAAAACACATTTAGAGCAACACTAGATAAATGAAAGACATATTTTATGAGAATGGCCTATAGACAAGAGTATAGGCAGACAGTGTCAATTAAATAATTTTACTAGAAACTGCTTTATTTACAGGACAAACCCACAGCTACCTGCCAGTAAGAAAGTGAAAAGGTGGATTAGATAAAAATGAATGATGCAGTCAGTACAAAACACTGAAATGCCCACTATATTAAGTTTTACAAGGTATTAGTCAGCTGCAGTCTGACAGTTTACAGTTCTTTTAACTAATATAGAAAATGTATGATATCAAGTTTGTTACAGATACATGGTTCAGATGACCTCAGCATTTTCATTAAGAAGTACACTTGTACCATAAACAATGAAATACTACAATCCACAAGGCCTTTGAAAATCACTTTGATAACTTCCCCTTCCCACAGGATCTCATTACTCTCCCTAGCAAAACATAAGTACTGATACACCCACATGCCAATGGCATTTTCCATTAAAGTTTTAAATTCATGCATGCAATCTTATGGTTTTCATACTAATCTTTCAGTAATCACAGAAAAAATATAAGAGTATATATATTAAAATATAAAATTACATATCTATGTTTGATTTAAAACCAAGCAATTATGTATTGCTTACCAAGTCCTAAGAGGTCAATAGTGGGTTCTGATGACTTTTTTGGACTTGCTTTAGCTTCTGATTGCTGATCCTCTTTCTTCTGTGGCTTGTAAGGGAAAAAAAAAACAAACACAAGTAAGATCTCTGAAAAGATTCAGTGCTTAAAAAATTTTCATTAAAGACGCCGTTTCAGTGGCAGAAGTAAAAGTTCTTTTCCATATTTGTTTATCATAATGAATTTGATTTTTAATGAAGTATTTGGCAGTTATGGTCAAAAGGGACATGGCACATGACTGTAAAAAATTATTGTTCACTGGTATGTACTAAATTTTTAAATAAATTTAAGTTTGAGGATAGTTTAAAATAAATTGAAGTCTTAAATTGAACCACTGCATATCATGCAATAGGCAAAAAGCTGTCTATAATTTATCAACTCATTTCAACAACCAAACTAAACAGTTCTGAAGCATAAAGAGTAAAAAAATAAAGTTTTAAAAAGCTTAAATTTACAAACTAGAAGCATACTAATGACATCAATTCGCCTTTCTGCAAAGAACATCTGCAAAATGTTCAGAATTTTGATATGCTGAGCACTGATGCACACAACTCGAGTTCATGACTTTTTCCTTTATAAACCTGCATGCTAATAACAGCATTCTTTTCCTTCTGAAAAGGGAATTCCCAGTCTTTTGCCCAAAGATTCCAAAATGTATGATGGCATTGATGTGAAATTTGATTACGAAAATTACATCATAAATCTGTTTATAGTTCTTACACCAGTGTCAGGCTGATCCCCTGAATCCATCAAAACATAAATTACTAAAATGAAGATGAACTGGTTAATAGTAGTGACATGACAAATGCATTTCTTCCTGTGCATTTAATGTGCCTTTCTCCATACTTATCACAAAAACCTGAAGTGGACTGGTTGATGAATGAGTACAGCCTTTAACCAGAGGAGATTACCCAGTGACAGTGGCAGGGCACTGCCAGGCTGGGCACTGGGCAGGCACTGCCAGAACCTGCTTCACTCACACCTTTAATCACAAACACATCGTGGCTTTCACAGGGTCACTGAGGCTCCTGAGGCTGCAGAAGTCATTGAATCTTAGTATTTTCATACTTTAAAGTTCAACACATTCATATAAAGATCTGTTTTAGGTACTCCTTTACTTTCTTCCTCTCCTGCCAAAGAGGGATAAAGAGTAAGGAGCTTGGTGTTTGTAAAGAGCAGTGAGGAAACTCAGGAGTATTCAAAGGCAGCCCAAGTGAACAGAAGCCCGTTACACTACAGACACTCCTCTTGCATGAGCAAATCCCCACTGAACACCTTCAGTAAGAGCCCCAATTAACCAAACTCCATTCCTGCAGGTACTGCAAACAGGTACCATCACACATACTCTGACCCCTGCTAATCTTTCAGAGAAATACTTGCTCCCTCTTGCCAAAAGTCCTTAGTTTGACTTTACACATCTTGCTCAAGATGCAGCTGTTTGGGAAATAACCTGATGAAAAAGTAGTCCAAAAATTCCCTGATTCCATTGTGTATTGTAACTTGCAACACCTTGTTTACAATCTGGAGCACAGCACACCAATTCCAAACACAAAAAATGTATCATTTTTGAAAGTAAACCATGACAGTATATCAAGGATTTTTTAAAGGTGACAATTCAAAATGAAGTTTTCTACAACTGACCATATCGCAGTAAATATGCCATAAACCAATAAAATCATTATTATAAACACTAATCAGAATTAACAGTAAGTACTTCAGAACAGAGTGTGCCATAAAACCTTGAACATCTGAATTTTCTCCATCTCTGTAAGAAACACTATAGGTCACAGAAGTTGTAAAAAGAAGCATTTCTGACATGCTCCTTTATTTCATGACACTGGCTTTTTTTCCTTTTGCTTAAATAGCTTAAAAGTTACAAATATAGAATGATTTCTTTCAACAGAGAAGAAAAACCATTAGAATTATATTATATTTGCAAATCTTCATTATACTGTATTAGATTTCTGATAACTACCTAAAACCACAAGTTTGAAATAATATAAAGCTTGACAGGTTAGTTTTGAATGCAAACTTTTCACAGAAGTCACAGACTTGTGCATATATTAATAAGAACTAAAGAGATAGAGTTCAAATAGCACTTTCTTTTATTTGGTACTTACTACTGTGGCAATTTAATCTCATTATCTAAACTAAAATTTTAAAAATATGGGAGGAATAATCTGCTTAGGTCCTCTGATTTGTCAAATAAATGTTTTCAGTACATATTAAATGCATATTTCTGTTTCATCACTCTAAATAAGAAAGACAATGAAGACACAAGGTATGAAACTATGAATTTCTAAAAAAATATGATCTCTTAAAATGCCATTTTCCAATATTGTAACTATTATTCCTTGATCAAAAGTTTCTGTCCCATTTTGCTCCCCTTGTCAGTATGTAAACTACTAGATTTTAAGGTTACTTTATAGTTAATTACTTTAAGAAAAGCTGCAAAAATTATTTTCAAGGTCATCAGTATATCAAATATTTCTAGCCATTAATACTGCATTTGTTTCCATGAAGATTTTCTCTTAAAGCACTATTTAACATCTTTGCAGCTATACAGTTTTCACCAACATTCTAACCTTCAGTCTGAAAAATGAAAAAACACATTAGTCACCTAACATTTTCCAATAATTCATCTGTGTAACAGCAGACATACAAAGCAATATTCATCAGCTATCTGGAAGAAAAGATCTTCCTCTTAAATTATACCTGCAAAATGATTTTGTTCCTCCATTCTCTCACCATAACAAGCACCATTTCCTGGAATTTCCTATCCTCCTGTCTGAGATTTCAAGCAATTCTGTAATTTGGTATGCCTTTATTTCTGTTTAAGATGCTTCATGGCACATAGGAGGGCTCCTGTGCAAATTCAGAAGACATTTGTTTGGTGCTTAAGGTCTGCCATGATTCACAGACAGGGACTTCTCTAAGTCACCTGCACTTAGGCATGAACTAGGTAAGGCACCAGTGGGATGAGGTAGAACAAGAAACTTGCACACACACAATTACTTTTAAGAATATCTAAATGACCCTCACTACCATGCTGCTTTTGAGAGTCTTGTTCTCTGTTCAGTCCCATGGATTCTGCACTTTGGTCCACCTGAGATAGACACAACAAAAAGCAGTGGCTTACTTCAGTGCTCTCTAGCAGAGATCATGCCATGTTTCTGGGTTGAGGAGAGAACCTCAAGAGGTCTCTTCCAGACCGTATAATTCTGGCATAAACAAGGAAACTCTGGACAAGAACAAAAAGGAAGCCACACTGGAGTCACTAGAAAATTTTACTACAAATCATAAAGAGAAATGTGATGTTAAATTTCTTTTTAGCAGTCTTGCCCCAATAGGAGTCATTCACGACTCAGCTTTATGTAGAGAGTGGCCTTTCAAGTTAAGTACTGCACCCAGTGAGCACAGAAGTGTGCAACAGGAAAAAAACCTGCATAACGAAGAAGTGACATTTCTTAAACTTACTGTTTAATTTAGTGTTGTGTTCTATCTAAAAAAACCACCACATTTTGTAGACTTGCAAGGTAGCATGACAAATGCTTGGGAGTCTTGCTGCACTAAGATCCATCTCAGTTTCTATTACCAGTCTCCTTGAATCCCACAGCAATTATTTTTAAGTATTGACACCAGTACTAGATAACCTATTCCTTGTTATGCCCTTTGGAATAAGACCACATTAAAAATAGGAGACTAAGCAGCATTAAGTAAACTAAAAACAGCATTAAGAATCTGAAATGAAAAAGGCAAGTAGAAGGAACAGGTACACAATTTTGTGCATTTATTTTCAAGTGGAGCCTTCAAGGTTACTGGGGCTACTATTTTTTATGACATCCAAGATTGTCTTAGTAATATATGTGGGTTTAGTGAATGAAGTACATGGTTATAGCAATTTCTGGATATATTTACTTCAGGTCATGTATTAACAGCTTCTCATTCAAAATCATTTTTATGCTGCTAGTACATTCTTCTGAAATACTGTCCTTGCAAACTGCAGAACATCAACACATCTTTGATATGCAGGTCTTACATGGCCATTTTTCACAGTTGTCACTAATGGCCACTACATTACCCTTCAGGGTTCTTCTCAAGTTGGAGACCTACTGAAAACAAGCAATGTCCACTGCCTTCAATTATTCTGAGATTATTGAAAACAGTTTGCTGCAAATATCACCGAAAGGAACTGAAGCCAGACCAAGCTTCCAGGGAGTTGACTCTTTTACATCCTCCACATGATCAGCATGACTTGGAATCTTTTACCTAAAAAACTTGAGTTCTTGTTATGAAAAGAGCCACAAAACCTAATTTAAATCACCCCTTGATCAGCAGGTATTAGATACTTTGGCCAAATTAAGGAAGCAAATAAAGAATTAACCTTGCAACCTCTTACAAGTATTTTCACCTATTAAGCACATATTTTCAGCACAGGAGCAGGGACACACTTGTTACTCAGATCCAGCATGGGCACTACAAATTTTTGCAATCCTGTAGATGACAGGTAACTGGGATACAATAATCTGTCATTGTTTTATTTTCCATTGCAGTCATTTTAACCTTCCACTCTTCTTATGCTCTTCTGCCAGTCCTTCCTTCAGGGGCAAGAAGCAAGACCCAGGGAACAACTGGTTGCTCTGTCTCACATCAATACCTAGAAAGGCAATGGAACAACTAACCTGGAAACCAATTCCAGGCACATAAAGGACAAGAATGTTAATGGAAGAAATCAGCATGGCTTCATCTAGAGGAAGCCATGCTTGACCAAACCAACACTTTTAACAGTGTCGTGACTGGCCTGGCAGACAAGGGTGAAGCATCACAGGGTGTCTTCCTTTACTTCCATAAGGTTTTTTTGATGGCATTGATAATTGATAAAGGTGCCATCAAGGAAACAATTCCCTTTTCAAGCTCCTGCTGTCATTTAATTCTTAATATCCAGTGAGGAATGACTCCCAATTTTATACCCAAATCAAGTGATGCCTTAATTCTGTCTGCTGCACATCTACAAAACAATAATGTTAAAGTATGGCGCTAATACCACATCT